GTGGATGATATTGTCGATGTTGCTATTGGAGCTGACTAGCTGATGAGACAACCGTAGGGTTGTTCGTTGGATTTCTGCGGTCTTGGTCAACAACACACTGAGTTGGCAATCCTTGAGCACATGGTTTGTACCTTCGCACAGAAAACATGTCACCTTGCGGGTGGGACATTCACCTGGTGGATGGTCTTCCTCACAATGAGGGCAGAGTGTGAGACACATGCTAGCAACGTGTCCAATTTCTCCACAACGGGTGCATGCCTTTGATTCCATTTCTTCCTCGCCGAGATGTCGGGGAGACTCATCTTCATCATCCGAGGAGACTTGATCTGACCCTTCACTATCAGATACTCTGCCACCATGGCTTAGGAGGTGCTGGGTCAACTGTCGTGCACCTCGGAAGGTATTTCCTCTTTGACGTCTAGGAATAGTTATCCTTGCTGGAGGCCATTCGGTGCTGGTAATAGTCATCTTACGTACTTCTTCTTCAGTTCGCATCGGTGCTTTTCTCTTCTGATTCTTACTCTTCTTGCCTTTGGCTTGCTTAGTACGTGACCCCACGTGGTACGAAAGGATAGGAGGAAAGCAATTCTCGGGATTCAATGGATTCTCTCCATTGGGCTCTCTACTTTGCACACTAGGCTGCAAGCTTGACTTGGTGCGAGGAGGCTGGTTTAGCGATGCCTGCCCTGCTAAACCAAAGGAAGGAGCTTCTTTGGCATATACCCATGGACAATTCAGGGCATAGTGTCCTTGCTCTCTACAATCGTGACAAAAGGGGACATCCTCTTCTGGCATTGGAAGCTCATCCACCTGGGTGGCAAATGCTCGATCAAACACATACTGATTTTGGTCTTAACTTCCAACCAATGGTAGCTGTGAACCAAGCAGCATGCTCGGAATGGACCAAGGGTGTGCCCTGGTTAACTCTCTTGAGGCCAGTGGTGGATTGAGTTGAAAACTTGAGTTACTTGAGGCATACCCGCTGACATTCTTTTCTTTTTCTCTGTTAAACATCTGTTACAGGGATTGAGGTGAGAGAGGAAACAAGCCAGGAAAGAATAGACCAGAACTAGAGATAGGACCTTAAAGGAACTAACTCTTCTTGTTGATGTGTTGTTTGTTTCACTTATTCTGCAAGTTGATTAAGCAAACAACCTAGCATGGTTACATCACAACCCACCGATGCAAACCACGCGCTACACACACAAGCAAAGGAGCACACGACTAACGACTCTACCCTAGAGGGTGGCTTAGGTTCTGCGACGGGTTCTCCAAGATCTTCACTCCGGCTTCACAGCTGGCTTCACTGCTTCCTCCACTTCGCTAGCGGACCCTGCGGTCTTCCGGAGCTTCGGCAAACAATTGGCGACATCTTCTTCTTCGCAAAACTAACCATCTCGTACTAGTTGAAATTTGAAGAAGAAAGAAAGAGTAAACATTTTGCAAATAGCATAGGGGAAAGGAGGAAAAAGGAACTTTCGCAAATAGTTTCATTTATAAAATATGTCCTTAGGTTTTATCCACTTGGCTTATCCTACAGTCGAGATGGCTCTGATACCAGCTTGTCGCGACCGGGAAAATTGCCTTTTCCCGAACGCTAGTGTATTAATCCCCGTCCCAGGAAAAGCCGGGGTACACCACACAAACATGATATAAAAGACACATCTTTATTATATCAATAATATTTACATTATTACAAAGGCACTTAAGACCTGACAAACAAAAATAAACAGCAGCGGACTAGCGGGCCTACGGCTCCATCTTCACAGGCGCTCAACTGGGGTATAAGCCAGGACTCCACCTAAGACTTCATCTCCAAAGCTTCTCTTACTAAAGGGGGGGAAAGATTGAGCAAGAATGAGTACAACCACAGTACTCAGCAAGTCACACCGGCAGATGCATGATTAATGCAAGGGGGTACAAGGGGTTAATAATAAGGGTTAAGTTTTGCAGTAAATCGCATTTAAAAGTCACTTAGTTGCCCAAAGCCATTTTAAAAAGACGATCCTAAAGCTACACAGTATTATTAATCAAGGTCGTGAACCCGCACGAACCTGCCTTAACCCAAGGCCTACGATGATTCATACCGAACTGGCAACCCGACCCTGGGTCCCAGCTCGCCCCAAGCCAACCCAGGCCAACCATTCCACATTTTAGTTGTTGAGCAAATTTTAAGAATTAAAACACTAACTTGGGTACATTGCTCGGCTTGCCCATAACCGAGGGCGCGGCTATTCAAATAGATTATACTCTGATCAGAGGTGTACATCTTTACCCACAAGACACATCTTCCTCACGTGTAACCACGTGCCACATACCACCACGGTATACGGACGGAAGACGTGACATAGTTTCCAACCCATCCTAGCCATAGACAAGAGTACCGACCCAACCCCACCTACGGCCGGAACCTCCGGGACAGGTAGGCAGGATTGAGCCCCTAGCAGCAGGACACCAGCCCTGTGCCATGACATCTCGACTACCGGGCCGCAGCTTGTGAAGCCTTCATTTGTCCTAGAGATGTCCATCGACCCCCGACTTCGTCCATCTCCATCCGTGTACTTTTGTTTATAACCAGACTGAGCCACAAACTAAGCCTTACCCACTAGACATGTGGAAGTACGGTAGTGCTTTGCAACAGAGGCCCGAGCTTAATCCTTATAGTACCCGAGGTACGACTAGCAAAACCCAACCACGCACCTTGAGCCCAGCCTAAAACCATTTTGGGGGTTTTGAATAGAGGGGGAGGTGTGTGTCCAATTCCACAATAAACCAACAATTCCAAAGTGTCCAGGTGATATGAATATCCCAAAGTCTAGAGTTGTAAAACCGCCTAATGTTACCTAATTAATCAGCGAAGCATCTACCTAAAATTATACTAGTGGTACTATGAGTAGAGTGTCCACTAGTTGGGGTTTTGTTTAATCTAGGGTAAACAAGGTAATAATAACAATAACAATAATAATAAGGTCATAACAAAGGTGGATAGGCATGGCTAGATAAAACAGTGATAACGCGGGAATTTAAATAAAGCGATAATGCAATAATTTAAAGCAACATAATTTTATAAACTGGGATTCAATATGTTCAAGGATGATGTGACTTGCCTTGCTCGCTTTCCCAAACGTCGGCTTCAACTTCCACGAAGAGCGGATCTTCCGAAGCTGCAGCGTCTACACGACCAACGGAAAAGAAACGGCTTTTACTCTAATAAACTCCCTATAAAAGGCAGAAACAAAGCACAAAAATGGGTTCTTGACTTCTTAAGGAAAAATTAGAGACTTGAACGGTCCAATTCCGAGTTCAAATGGCCAAGATATGGCCATTTGAAGTTTATATGCTCTTTAAATGGATATTTGCGAATTTCTTCATTTAAATTTTAATTTAAAAATTGGATTTATTGCGTCAGCCGAGGGGAGGGGCGCGCGGACCGGGTCCACGGGAGTGGGGCCCACGCGGCAGCCTCACGGTCCACGGTGGACCGGGTGCACGCGGCTTGCGCCGGCCGGCGCCGTGGGTCCCACGCGTCAGCCGCACCCGAGGGCGCGGGCGGCTGACGGCCGGGCCCCACATGGCAGCCGCGGGGCGCGCCCGAAGGCGGCCTCGCCGGCACAGCCGATGGGAGGCGACGCGCCCGCGCCCCGATGGTCGCCGGCGGCGACCTCCGGCGCGACGGAGCGGCGCCCGAGAGAGGGGAGGGAAGGGGGAAGCGAAATGGCGGTCCTCAGCTCACCCCGGGTCGACGGCGACGACGGAAACGGCGATCGAAGCGGAGAGAGGCGGCGGCGCGGCTCGGGTCAACGAGGACGGCGGCGTTCCGGCGGTCGGCGGGCGAAACGAAGGGGTGGACGAGGTCGGCGAGGACGCGGCGAAGCCGAAGGAGGCGATGCCGAAGCGGGAGGAGATCCGGGGCGACGACGGCGGCGGACCGAAGCTCAACGGCGACGGCGGAGAGAGAGGACGACGGCGCGAGCTCGATTCCGACGGGGAGAGAGAGCGGCGAGCGGCGGAAACGGAGGAGGGAGGGAGATGGGCCGAGCCGGCCCAAGAGGGGAAGGGGGGAAAAAGGACTTTTTAGGGTTTTTCTTTTTATAAAACCTTTTTAACTTTGTTTATTTCTTAATAATTATTATTTGTGCTCTGAAAATTCAAGTAAAATTTGAGGGCTCCTTTTAGACCAAGGAGAATTTAACAAAAATTCTCCGGGCCGCATTTGAATTTTTCTTGTACGTATTTTAGTGTTTGCCAATTTCTTTTCGAATTTTAATTAATTCTATTATTCCTTTTAGAAAATGATTTTTATCTTGGGATGAATTTATCAGGACGTGACAGTACATATACCTTGCACCTATATCTTTGAGATATGCAGCATCGTAGCAACTTCTGATCAACAACCAAGTCTTTGTTCCCTTTTGTCCTTCACTCGGGACGAGCAAAGGTTCAAGCTTGGGGGGCTTTGTTGACGGTCGTTATTGATCAGTTTCGCCCGTCAATATTACCAAAATAGAGGAGAACTAGTGATGCTTGCAATGCATATTTTTGTTCAAATAATAATATTCCACTAGTATTAGGTCTACTAACCTTTTGCAGAGAATGACAATAAAGTGGAGGAGAATCGATATCAACACAAACGATAAATCAATCAGACGATGTCGAGAATCAGACTTATGTATGAATGGGCCAAGAACCCAGAATTGACACAATGAATTGGGCCAAAATTCACAAGTCTGCGGAGTGGAGCAATAGAGGAAGTCGCCAGCCGAAGATGGGCTGGTTTGGGCCAGCCCATGGTTCGGCCGAACCCCCATCTCCACCGTTGAGGCCAGGGTTTGGCATGGACGTCCATGATTGCACCCCAATGACAGTTGGAGGGTACTTCGGACAATTCCCCTTCCACAACCATCATACCTACCTCTATATAAGGAGCTCACTCTCTTCAATTCAACACACACCTCAAGCAAGAGCTCTCTCATTCATCTCAAGTTTAGTTTAGTAGTATCTAACTGGTGGAATAGAATTAGAATAGGAATCAGGAGTCCGGAAGTCTTCGGAAGAGTTCGGGTATGGCTCTAGTAGCTTTCCTTTCCTCTTTTGTAAGCTTTGTACTTTTATTAGAATATTCTTCTAAATACATTTCTGTTATTGAAATACTTTCTGAGTATATGAGTACCAACTTTACGTTATGTTCATGTTATACAGAATATACTACTAGCTTATCTGGGAGATGCTTTGGTGCGGGTATAGTGTTTGCTTATACAATTACTATATGTCATGACGATGATATTAGAGTAGTATCTGGTAGTTTAGACGTGGTGTCTAAATTACGGGATATCATTATTTTGGGTTATATATTACAGATGAGAGGTGGGCCGCTGATGGTGACAGCTCAGTACGGATATTCCTCCGCACTCCTCATTGGACCACGTGGCATCATGCGTTGTGCTCCAACGGGAGTCTCGGCTGGAGAATTTGCCAGGTATCCGCACCCTCCCTCTGCCGTTAGATGATATATCAACGGTGAAAAATCATCTTGTGATCTAAATATAAAATACAAATTTTGAGTGTGTTTTTTTACACAAAACATGTGATCTTATCCAGAAGAATCCGGGCTGCTATTATTGGAGAAAAATCCAACAAAAAAATCACAAGAAAAAACCTCCTGGAGGGGGTGATGGCGTGATCTACCGACCTGCTCTGCCTGGACATGCGGCGCCCAATGGAAGATGAGGGGGGAGGCGAGAAGCGACGCCAGTGGAGGGAGATGGATGCCCCCTTGCGCCTCCGCTCGAGCCGGCCATCTCTCGGCTTCAGGGGATGTCTCAGAGCTCTGCAGTGGCTGGATGTGGAGGGTGAGAGAGGGAGGGGGCGAGGCAGAGAGGTGGCTGAGCTGATGGCCAGTGACGGATGGAGCAATCAAGCAGCGGGTTTGCTCGTCGATGGGATTTGGTCCTTATTTCGATGCCATCCTCGCCGCCATCCTAAATCGCCGGAGGCCGCTCCTAATCGATGGTCGCCGTCACTGCAGTCATGTTCGCTAGCACCCTGCTCTCCGTGCTCGCATGGTTGTAGTTGTGGAGGGTGGTGAATGAAGAAGCCGAGAGGGAGACTGGGGGCGAGCTGAGAGGAAATCGAAGGATGGAGTCGGAGAATAGTGCGTGACTCGCCACGCGGAGAAATTTGCTCGGGAAGGGAAAAAGACAAGCGTACCGCTGAATACCTGGATCCAATTTACATTTGAACCCCCTCTATGATTTCTTATTACATGCTCCCACTAAATGAAAAAATATTTACAAAAGCGCCCCTGTATGCTGATCCATACACATACAACCCGCATATTTACTTCCAGAACCTAAAATTTTTCTTTTTCGAAAAGTGACCCAACTGTGTAGCAGCACCTTGCATCATAGTGCAAAAAAAAAACGGGACCGGTGAGTGACCTTGCACCAAGTTGGCTCTGGAAGCGTGACGCCTGACCGGCCAAACTATTAACCACAAGTCCATAATTACTTTACGCCTTTGTTTGTCTTAACAACAATCTGAAAATGCATGCTTTCAATCATCCTTTCGATTGTCCACATGCTTTTTCAAATCGCTCATTACTATATTTATTAGTAAAGCATGTGTTCAAAAGCAAATGCTATAAAATAAACTACGATAATAAAAATAAAAATTAACTCCAAAATTAATTTTAAAATTCAAATTTTGCTTATAAGCATAATTATAAGAGAAACAATTTGGCTCGGAGTCCGATTAGATACATAAAACTAAGATCAAACTCCAAAATAGCTGGTTGGTGCATCCTTGACATTTATACAACTAGGATGGTGTTTGAAATTAATAAAGTTGAAGAGGATACACAAAATGATAAAGTCATTAGCGTATGATTAGTTGTATTTTAGTTATTACAAACTTAAAAAATAGGTTCATTTGATATTTTAAAGAAACTTCTATTTGGAAATTTATTTTCTACTTTTAATATAATTATTTTTTACTTTCACAAACTCCTGATATAATGATTACGGAAGGAAATAGAATTCACTATTTTTTTATTTGTTTTTTATTTAGTCTATTAGAACAAAATCATGCTTAACTGATTATAGATAACCATTAAATTTGCCGAGGGGCCTTTCACGTATAGTATAGATCTATGGGTCCTAGATTTTTAAACTTGATTGATATATTATTTTGAGTTTAGATTTTTCTTTTTTGCCAAGTTTCCGTTTATCTATGTGTAATATGTTTGTCGGGAAATAAACATTTCCATTTTGTTTTTCCAACTAGAAATATTCCAGATTTTTTTCCAAATAGAAATATCACAAATACCATCGATTATTGTCGCTTGGTTCATTTTTACTCCATCTCATATATATCTAAGAAATCAAACTAATTCTAAATAACTCTACAACATTTATATATCCTAAACGGAAATTTTAAATATTCACAGCTTATTTTTAAGTTGGTGCGCCAAAGGCGCACTCATTTTCTAGTATAATCTTAAGTTAATTTTCTGGGGAGGGTATTCCTCCGTATTTAGCCCCGGTTGGATGGTCATGACGGGCTGTCGTAAGGAACTCGGCAATCAGGAGTGGCTTGTATGTCACTCTACCCTTGGATTATCTTAACCCCTGCTTATAATATGATTATCACAAGTAATATATAAATTATTAGTTGAGTTCTCTCTACATGATCTTCCCACGGGATAAAGTAAATACGATACCCTTAGAATACTCTCGGGTGAAATGCTACAATGGTATATTCGTGCGCTTGCGAATGAACTGTACGGGTATTCCTCCGCGCCGGTATATAATCCGGGTATTCCTCCGCGCTGGTATATAATCCTAAGATAATGTAACGTTCCGCCTTCCCCCAGGCCGGCCCCGCTTACATCTTATGGTTTTCATAGGTCATAGACTGTCCTCATAGACCAACACAAGTATTCATAGGTCATAGACTGCCCTCATAGACCAACACAAGTATTTTTTTGCATACTTTGTCCTCACTCGTGCGCACAAGTTCTTTCGAGATCGGCTTCTGGAAAAGAAGTTGCAATTTGTTGACATGAGTATTCTATTAATCCTATTAAGCCCTAGGCTGAGATGTTACACCCTCACCCCCTTAAGAGAGATCGACGCCCCCGTCGATCAACCCCCCAGGCCAGGAACGTCCTCTCTTGGCCACGTCCGTGTGTCCAGTGCCAGCGCATGTGCCATACTGTGTGACCACTCCAGATCCACACCAGCCATGCGCACCATGCCTGCGCAACTGCGACACACGCGCCCGTGAAACCACGAGAGTCGGCTCTGATACCACTTTGTAACGTTCCGCCTTCCCCCAGGCCGGGCCCGCTTACATCTGATAGCTTTATGCCTGCGCAACTGCGACACACGCGCCCATGAAACCGCGAGAGTCGGCTCTGATACCACTTTATAACGTTCCGCCTTCCCCCAGGCCGGGCCCGCTTACATCTGATAGCTTTCATAGGTCATAGACTGCCCTCATAGACCAACACAAGTCTTTTCTGCACACTTTGTCCTCACTCGTGCGCACCCGGGAAGAATTTCCCGGTCGGTCACCCATCCCAAATTGCTCCCGTGAAACCGCGAGAGTCGGCTCTGATACCACTTTATAACGTTCCGCCTTCCCCCAGGCCGGGCCCGTTTACATCTGATAGCTTTCATAGGTCATAGATTGCCCTCATAGACCAACACAAGTCTTTTCTGCACACTTTGTCCTCACTCGTGCGCACCCGGGAAGAATTTCCCGGTCGATCACCCATCCCAAATTGCTCCTGCACACTTTGTCCTCACTCGAGTGCACCCAGGAAGAATTTCTCGGTCGGTCACCCATCCCAAATTGCTTCAGACCAAGCACGCTTAACCTCAGAGTTCTTTCGAGATTGGCTTCCAAAAAAAGTTACAACTTGTTGACATGAGTATTCTATTAATCCTATTAAGCCCTAGGCCGAGATGTTACAGTTAATTCCCTGGGGAGGTTATTCCTCCGTATTTAGCCCCGGTTGTATGGTCATGACGGGCTGTCGTAAGGAACTCGGCATTCAGGGGTGGCTTCTCGAAGTACAAGGAGGGCATCGGATAGAGGGTATTAGCTAGTATATCAGTCAACTAGAATGTATGTATACTATGTATATTAGATGTATAGGAATAGATTCTCTTTCTTTTTTCTTTCCACTTAGCTTAGATAATAGATTATGAGAATGAGTAGTAATGCTTGTGTGTCACTCTACCCTTGGATTATCTTAACCCCTGCTTAGAATATGATTATCACAAGTAATATATAAATTATTAGTTGAGTTCTCTCTACATGATCTTCCCACGGGATAAAATAAATACGATACCCTTGGAATACTCTCGGCTGAAATGCTTCAATGGTATATCCGTGCGCTTGCGGATGAACTTTGTAACCATAATATACCAGGAGTATTTCTGCGCCATTGCTGGGAATTATATTTCTAGTAATGTCGTTAAGAAATACCAACAAACGTCAAGATGAAGCGCGTCTTGACCGGCGCGGGGGGGGGGGGAGGGTGGGCCAGCCTCAACATCATCTCCCTGGCGGCCTTCCATGCCCTCAAGGCCCCGGGGATGAGGCTTCAGCCGTCGCTGCCAATCATTGGCGTGACGCCAGGGCACACGTGGCCTTTGGGCCACATCGAGCTCCTAGTCATCTTCAGCAACTCCACCAACTTTCGCACCGAGTGGATCGACTTCGATGTGGCGAATCTCAATTTGCCCTACAACACGGTCCTGGGAAGGCCCGCGTTGGTGAAGTTTATGGCCGCCACCCACTACACCTACCTCTAGATGAAGATGCCGGGCCCCAATGGCCCCATCACCGTCTCTGGCGATGTCAAGATTGCCCTGGCTTGTGCGGAGCAGTGCGCCGACAGCTTGCCTGCGGCCACCGAGCCGGAGGAGGCCGGCGGAGCCCCGGAAGCCTCCGCGTCCCGCGCATCCAAGAAGCGCATCACCTCGGGCGATGAGGTGCCCGTCAAGGAGATCCCCTTGGTGATGATCCGTCCAAGACCGCCAAGATCGGCGGTAACTTGGATGCCAAATAGGAAAGCGTGCTCGTCTCCTTCCTGCGGGCAAACTCCAACGTCTTCGCTTGGAAGCCGTCGGACATGCCCGGCGTCCCCAGGGAGGTGATCGAGCACCGCCTCGCCATGCGGCCGGATACGCGACCCATCCGGCAGAAGGTACGGCGGCAGGCCCCGGAGCGGCAAGCCTACATCCGCGAGGAGGTGACGCGGCTACTGGAGGCCGGCTTCATCCGAGAGGTCATCCACCCGGAGTGGCTTGTGAACCCGGCGGTCGTCCCAAAGGCCAACGGCAAGCTCCGGATGTGCATCGACTACACGGACCTCAACAAGGCATGCCCTAAGGATCCCTCCCTTTACCACACATAGATCAAATAGTCGACTCCACCGCAGGGTGCGACCTTTCGTGTTTTCTAGATGCTTACTCAGGGTATCATCAGATCCGCATGGCTAGGGAAGTTGTGGAAAAAACTGCTTTCATTACTCCTGTAGGCACCTTTTGTTATACAACTATGCCTTTTGGTTTAAAGAATGCAGGCCCTACTTTTCAACGCATGACTCGTATTACTTTGAGTAATCAAATAGGGCGTAATGTTGAGGCTTATGTCGATGACTTGGTGGTAAAGACGCGCCACCAAGAAACATTTTTGACGGACTTAGCTGAGACTTTTGATAGTCTCAGGTCCACGCGCATGAAACTGAACCCCGAAAAGTGTGTGTTCGGTGTGCCGGCGGCCATGCTTCTCGGTTTACTAGTCTCGTCACAAGGCATAGAAGCTAATCCCGAGAAGATACGCGCGATAGAGAGGATGCGCCCCCCTGTCCTGGGCCCCTTCAAAGCGGCCCGCGGCGGGTACCAACACCCGTACGTCGCCATCGACAAGTTCACCAAGTGGCCTGAGGCTTACCCGATCGTAAAGATCGACAAGCATTCGGCCCTCAAGTTCATCAGAGGAATCACGTCCCGATTCGGAGTGCCAAACCGTATCATTACGGACAACGGCACCCAGTTCACCAGTGAGCTGTTTGGTGACTAATGTGATGACATGGGCATCAAGCTATGCTTTGCCTCACCCGCCAACCCCAAGAGCAACGGCCAAGTCGAGCATGCCAATGCTGAGATCGTCAAAGGCCTCAAGACCAGGACGTACAACGTCCTCAAGAAGCATGGGGATTCTTGGCTTGAGGAACTGCCCGCAGTGCTGTGGGCCAATCGGACCACTCCGAGTCACGCAACGGGAGAAACACCCTTCTTCCTGGTGTACGGCGCCGAGGTGGTCCTTCCCTCAGAGCTCTCCTTGGGTTCGCCCCGTGTTGCATTGTATAACGAGGCGAACCAGGACGAGCTCCGACGGGATGACCTCGACTATCTAGAAGAGCGAAGAAGGCGCGCCGCCCTTTGGGCGGCTCGCTATCAACAGAGCTTGCGGTGCTACCATTAGCACCACGTCTGGGCCCGATCAATCCAAGTTGGCAACCAGGGTGGTACGATGGCCTAGAGTTTCAAGCGTTCACCACAAGGACATAGCAAAATAAAGAAGAAGGGGTAGGGGCAGTCATGGAGGTGCTCGGGCCTCCAAGTCCGGCACCGCTGACGACCTCGTCCCAATGCTCACCGTCTACCACCGTCATCGCTCCCGCTATCTTCATCCGAGGGAAGCGCGAGGTTGAACCGAGCGGCCGTCCCCTCGAAGCCCGAGACGATCGCGTCGGCCGACGTCTCGAACCTGCTCAAGGGCCATCGCGTCAGTCCCCGGGGAGAAATCTTCGAGCGTGCGCTAGGGAAGGAAGTCGGGGTCGCGGGCCTGGTGACTCGTGAGGACAAGCTCCATCTCCGCCCGCACCAAGGAAGCCGATGACGACTTCACGGCCTCGCCGACCTCCTCCTCCAGCTTCTCCAGGTCCGCCGCCATCTTGTCCAACCGTCGTGCGAGTGCCGGCCTTGTGGATGGGAGCTTCTTGTCCCAGCGCATGGAGATGCCCACCTGGCGCCCCGCACGCTCCAGCCGTTCGATGGCATCGTGGAGTTGGCCGGGCCCGATGTCGTTGGCGAGATGGAGGGCCGCGATCTCTCCAGCCTGGTCCTGCACCAGCCGTCCCATATCAGCGAGGGTGTCTTGGGCCGTGGCGAGCTGGATGGCCAGATCGGTATCGCCGGGCTGCCCACGCGACGCTAGTTCCTTCTCCCTGGCCTCCAGCTCAGACGCCTACGCCGCCATCGCCGCGCGTTCGGCCCGGGCACTTTCTAGGTGGTGGGCCTCGCGCCCGACGACGGCCTCCTCACGTTTGGTGAGCTGGTCGCTTAGCCGACGTGCCGCCACCTCGCGGCGGTTAACCTCGGCCTCGCGTTTGGCAAGCGCGGCGTCCTGCTCCCACCACACCTCCTCTCGAAGCCACAGCTCCTCCGCGCAACGAGCCACTGTAGCCTCGGTGGCGGTGGTGGTTCGGGTGCACTCAGCAGCGGCCTCCTCGCGGAGGCGAAGGGCGGATTCGGCCTCAGCCGCCGTCACCTCGTGGGCGGCCAGGGTGGCCTCGCGCTAGTCCAACGCGCGTGCCCGCTCCTCGAGCGCTTGGGCCCGCTCCTCCAGCTCCTGGGCCCGCTGCGCTTGTGCCCGACTGCGCCCCTCCTGCTCGCGCTGGTTGCCGTCGAGGACCTTGATCCGCCGGCGAATCGTGGCCTCGAACTCCTGTGCAGAGCGGGTGCGCTCGTACAAGGTTTAGTGCTCGGCCTCGAGCGCTTCCTCCCGGGCCCGCAGCAAAGCCTCGGCCTCAGGTTCGGGCTCGCAACCCACCTTGGCCTCTGGGCCGTGTTCCGCCTCGGCGTCCGGGCCGCGTTCCGCCTCGGCCTCCGCCTCCAGGCCGCGTTCCCTTCGGCTGTGCCCTCGGGACCACCCCCGAGGGGGACCTCGGTGCCACCACCACCGACAGCGGATGGCGTCCTCTCCTCCCTCAAGGGGACGGTCTCGCCCGTGGTGGACTCGGAGCCGGACTAGGCGTGTGGCCCGCCGGCCCCGCTGGGGGGCTGTGAAGGATCCACGGCCCCTGTTCGGCCGACTCCCGGCCGCTCGGACTTAGAACCCCGGGGGGTTCGGCTGCCGAGGCCCCTCGGGAGGGAAGCTCACTGCAGGAGAACCCCAGTTGCAGTTTTTTTAAAAAAAGAAAAAAAGAGAGAGAGGAAGAAGCACAAAGCCAGGATGGATGGAGAGCACGGGATCAGACCTTGGTGATCGTACCTGTGAGGGGGGCGCTTGAAGGTCCACTCTGGGGGCTCGATGAAGCTCCCCCCGGCACGGCTCCATCTGGCCCATCTTCCGGAGCCTTTTCTTCTTCCGCCCGGCTTCTGCTGCGGCGGGGCGCTGGTGACTCATCGGTGGCCGGTCGGCTGCGCACTCGGCGCCGCCACCGCACGGAGGAGAAGGTGGTCTAGACTCAGAAAACTTCCGCTTCCCTTTCGGGTTGGCAGACGGGCTCCTACCGGCCCCGCAGCTCGGGCCGGGCGCCCTAGAGCTGCTGCCGCCGCCGGAACCGCCAGCTCTGCTGCTGCTCCCCACGCCGTCGCCAACGCCGCCGCCGGTAGCGCCCCGGCGGGGCCGACCTCCCCCTGTGCCCACCGCCATCGTCACCGCCAGGATGCTCTCCCGGTCGCGGTCGCTGCAGAGGGGGAGGATCCCGTCTAGGATTAACGTTTGCTCGACGGTGTCCAGGCCCGACACCCGCCGGACCACCGTCTTCGCGTCTTCGTCGCTCCAGTCCCACCGCTCGCCGACGTGAGTACGCATCGGGTCGTTATACCCGGTGTACTCCCACGCGCCGCTGGACCGCTCTTGGAAAGATGCGATGCGACGGGGGAAGTAGTCGCCGAACACCATCGCTGCCGTCAGACCCCGGCTCCGCAAGCCTCTGAGGCGATCCTGGACCGCGTCGTACTCCTCCCCCAGTTCTGCGACTGCCTGCAAACCCGCGGATCGCTTAGGAGGACCGGTGGGGAGCCGGAGGCGCTGGTGGTCGGGCAGCATGGTGTATAATCAGTCCTTCTTCCAGTCCTCCCACTTCTTGCGGAGGTGGCTTTCGATGTACTGCCCTGTCACCGCCGATCGGGGCTGGAAGTAGCATTCCCCCCCCCCATCGCGCCTTGCTGAAGTTGATGGACAAAGAAGCACTGAAACAGCCACATCGACGGCCGCACCCCGACGAACATCTCACACAGATGCGCGAAGATGGCCAGGATCATCACGGCATTGGGAGCGACATGCAAGGCGTGGATCTCGTAAAAATCCAAGACCTCGTAAAAGAATCTGGAGAAGGGCGGGATCAACCCCGCCATAGCAAAGGAGAGGAGATGCACGGACCTCTCCGGGTACCGCGGCCGCGGCCGCGTCTCCCCTGCTCTCACGGCGGCGTCCTCCGGCATAATCTTGCGGATGAGGCTCATGTGCCTCTCTGCCGTGATGCGCGATGCCGGAAGGATGGCGCTGCCAGCGTCTTGGGCCATAGCAGCCGGCGGATGCGGGCGAGAAGTTGGGCGTGCAAAGTACGATGGAGGGAGAGAAGAACGCTGGGGGCTGAGAAGCGTGTATGCGGGCGAGAAAATGGCGAAACAAAGGAGACGAATTCTCTGAGAAGAACGCTGGGGGCTGAGAAGCGTGTATGCGGGCGAGAAAATGGCGAAACAAAGGAGACGAATTCTCCGCCCTCCCCCCTTTTTATCCTCGCCTCGCCAGCGTCCGCCTCCTTGATTCTCGCCTCTGCGGTTGCCTCAATTTTCGGCGCAACGGTTGCCTCCTCGGTTCTCGCGCCCGCTCGTCCCATTCAGCCCGCTAAACGCGCGTCCTGCACTTAGTGCACCTGTCACCAGCGCAGCCGGCGCAGAGCGCGCGATGATTGCAGTTGTGGCCAGACGGGCCCACTGACAATCCCGCGTCCCCACGCGCCTGGCGGTCGGGCAGTTGACGAGATGGCTAGTAATGGCGCCGAGCACGTCGGACGAGACTCCTCGTTTTTCCCGCCTTGCTCGCCCCCGCGCGTGGCGCGTTTATCGGCGGTCGAATAATCATCACGATGGACGCTTGAGTTGAGCGCCCCAATGATGGCTCCTCGAACCCCCGTGCAACCCGTTATCACGAGACGGAAGTTATGAGGCACCACGCTAGACCACCCCGAGGGTGTCGCAGTCATACGCGGTGCCGGGGGCTACTGTCGGTGATATGGGCCCGGGGGTACGCAAAGTAGAGGGAAGCCACCTTCCCGTCTGGCCATGTGGCTGTGCAGCCTGGCTTTCCCCCGCCCTCTCGGGGGAGGCAGTCAGGTAGCATTGACGCGGCCAAGTGGCCTCGGGGTGCCACATCGCGACCCTCGGGTCCTTAGCGTGCGCCACCCCGAGGCCCCCGTCCGGCCACCACGTGGCGGGGAGGTCAGGCGGAGCAGGAGACGCTGCTCCGTGCCTTCAATGCACGGTGCCCCAACCTCTTGTAAAAGTTAATCATAATCCCACACACAGGAGTAGGGTATTACGCTCGATAGCGGCCCAAACCTGTATAATCCCTTGTCTTTCACAGAGGCTAGGTAGCGGTCTAGCAGCTAGATTGCAAGTGGAAGTACGCTCTTGACCATCGCGCCATCTCCCCCGGCCGAACTCACAAAGGGGGGTCTCACGACCACCCGCTAGAGAGGATCTCTCCTCGACAATTGTGGAAAAGGATTATGAGGCTTTTCAAAAGCTTAAGATGAGTAGCTAGCTGTCAGATGAATATAATAGTTGTAAGTTCTTCAGATAGCATAAAGATATAAAGATTTAAGGGACAAACGATCTTTTGAGAGTGCTGAAGGGACAAACTTAGTGTCTGTTGTTATTTCTTAACGATGTTACTAGAAATATAATCCTCGGTAACGGTGCCAGAAATGCTTGTTGTTATTTCTTAACGACATTACTAGAAATATAATTTCTAGCAATGGCGCCAGAAATATTCATGATATATTATGGTTACAGATCATATGCGCAAACGCACGGATATATCATTGTAGCATTTCACCCGAGAGTATTCTAAGGGTATCGTATTTGTTTAATCCCGTGGGAAGATTATAATAGAGAGAACCAAGCTAATATTTATATGTTACTTGTAATAATCAAAGTCTAAGCAGGGGTTAATTCAATTCAAGGGTAGAGTGACATAAAGCGGAAGCACTCAATATTCTCATACATACTAATTCTAGTATAAGTGGAAAAGAATAAGAAAATAATTATTTCCTATACTTCTAATATACATACATACAAGTTTGGTCAATTTTATCTACTATATAATTATATAGCCAATACCCCCTTACGATACTCTCCTGGTGTTTCGAGAGACCACCCCTGGTTACCAAGTTCCTTATGACAACCTGTCATGGCCATTCAACCGGGGCTAAATACGGAGGAGTACCCTCCCCATGAAAGTAACTTAGG